ACATACACCCTCTCAAGTCTGAACCAGGAAGAAGTTGATTCTCTGAAAAGACCAATAGCCAGTTCTGAAATTGAGACAGTAATAAATAGCCAACCAACCACAAAAAAAATCCCAGGATCAGATGGATTTACAGCTGAATTCTACCAGAGGTACAAAGAGGAGCTAGTACCATTTCTTCTGAAGTGATTCCAAACAATTGAAAAGGAAGGACTCCTTCCTAACTCATTTTATGAAGCCAGCATCATCCTGATACTAACACCTGGCAGAGATACAACAAAGAAAGAAAATTCAGGCCAATATCCATAATGAACATCCATGTAAAAACCCTTAATAAAATACTGGCAAACCAAATCCAACAACACCTCAAAAAGATTACCCACCAAGATCAAGTCAGCTTCATTCCCAGGATGCAAGGCTGGTTCATGTACACAAATCAATAAATGTAATTCATCACATGAACAGAATTAAAGACAAAAACCACACGATTATCTCAGTAGATGCAGAAAAGGCATTCGATAAAATTCAACAACTCTTCATGTTAAAAATTCTCAATAAACTAGGTGTTGAAGGAACATACCTCAAAATAGTAAGAGCCATTTATGACAAACCCACAGCCAATATCATACTGAATGGGCAAAAGCTGGAAGCATTCTCCTTGAAAACCAGCACAAGACAAGGATGCCCACTTTCACCACTCCTATTCAACATAGTTTTGGAAGTTCTGACCAGGGCCATCAAGCAAGAGAAAAAGAAGGCGTATTCAAATAAGAAGAGGAAGTCAAACTATCCCTGTTTGCAGATGACGATGACATAATTTCCTATATCTAGAAAATTCCACTGTTTCTGCCCAAAATCTTCTTAAGCTGATAGGCAACTTCAGCAAAATCTCAGGATACAAAATCAATATGCAAAAATTGCTGGCATTCCTATATACCAGTAATAGGCAAGCTGAGAGCCAAAATCCAGAATGAGCTCCCATTCGCAATTGCTACAAAAAAGAATAAAATACTAGCAATACAGTTAACAAGGGAAATGAATGACCTCTTCAAGGAGAACTACAAACAGCTGCTCAAAGAAATCAGAGATGATGACACAAACTAATGGAAAAACATTCCATGCTTATGGATAGGAAGAATCAATATCATCAAAATGGCCGTACTGCCCAAAGTAATTTATAGATTCAATGCTATTCCCATTAAACTGTCATTGACATTCTTCACAGAATTAGAAGAAACTATTTTGAAATTCATTTGAAAGAGAAAATCAAATGTTCTCACTTATAATTGGGAGCTGAATGATGAGAACACATGGACACATTGGCGGGGAACAACGTACATTGGGACCTGTCAGAGGGTTGAGGGTGGGAGGAAGGAGAGATCAGTAAGAATAGCTAATGGATGCTGGGTTTAATACATAGGTAATAGGATGATCTGTGCAGCTAATTGCCATGGCACATGTTTATGTAACAAACCTGCACAACCTGCACATGTACCCTGAACTTAAAAGTTAGAAAAAAAGAAAACTTTAGGCCCAGATAATACTGGCAAATTGTTCTGAACATTTAAGAAAGAAATAATACCAATTCTACACAAACTCTTCTAGAAAATTAGGATTTTGTGTTGTAAGCATGATTCTGATTCTAAAATCAGACAAAAAATATTAAAAGGAAATGTTAAGCAAAAAATTTTCTTGAACATAAGACTTAAAAATTCTCAACAGTATTTTAGCAAATCAACATATATACCAATATATAAAAGGATAATACATTATGACCAAGTGGAGTTTGTTTTAGGAATGCCAAGTTGGTATAACATTCAAAAATTAATGTAGTAGTATTAGAAAACAAAAACCAATTGATCTTTTCAATAGATGCAGAAAAATTATTTGGCAAAATTCAACTCCCATTCATGATAGAATCACTCAGAAAACTAGTCTGCCATTTACTACCCATTGTCTCTTGGCTATAAATCTACATTTTTCCCTGCTTGCGATACTGTAACATTTGTCTACTGTCTGCTAGCACATTGTTAAGCTTTCAATAGAGGGCACAGGAGGGATACTGGAGAAAGAAGAAAGTTCTTTTCCTGGTTCCAGTGTATCTTTTTCTTTTTGCTCCTGTTATCCAAAAAGACAGCCAGCAAGTTTCAGCAGTACCCTAGCAGTCAGCTTCCCAGTGACAAGTTCAGTGGTACACCTGCAAGAGAAATCCTAGCAGCAATTTCAGCAACACCCTCGTAGGTGATTCCATGAGTACCAGCAGTGCACCAGCTGACTTTTTAGCAGTTTCCTGGTGAGTTCTGTGACATCCCATTTGGTCTGCCAGTTTTCCTGTGGATTTCTGCCAAGTCCAGCCAGTGTCCTAGCTGGTTTTCTATTTACAAACCCCACTCGCTACCATAGGTAGCTTGGTGGTGAATTTCATTGGTGTACCTCATGCGTTTTCCTGCCTCTAATCCTTGACCCACTAACTGTGAATTAGCTCTGTCCTCAGGCAACCCAGCAAAATTCCCCACCATGAGTGGCTGTTACCACACCCTCTTCAATGAGATCTGAATCTCAGACCTTGGGGAGAGTCCCTCCCTTCCAAGTTTGTTACTTATTTAAATATTCTCCCTCAGCTCTAGGGTGATATTCTTTAGAGTGCTCCCTTATTCCTACTTAGTTAATTCCCTGTAAACAGTTAATAATTCTATATATTAAACTGTCTCTGTTCACACTGCCATGTGGTTTCTCTTTGCTCTCTGGATCTTGATACGGGATTAGTACTAGTAGTGCTCCCAGGAGACAAACCCTCCAAGAAGGGATTTCAGAACTGGTTTTGGTTGTGTTGGTTGGTCTTGATCTTACATGGAGTGCCAAGTTTCTTCCAATGAGAGGTGGGATGCTGATAGTTCATGAGAAGCCGTGGCATCACAGTTTAATCACAGTATCACCTATGGTTGATTGTGAAGAAGTGACAAATGAACCCAGTACCTTGAGAGCCCAAATGACTGCTGCACTTGACTGTTACGGCAGTAATTATGGCTATGAGCACTGTAGTATAGGATGGATTCTCCTGTGTGGCAAGTGCTTACAGAGAGAACCTTGTAAGATAAATTCAAGTGGTTTATTATAATTATTATGAACTAATATAAGATTTTGTTACTGCTTTTCAATGATCTCTACTTGATAGAGATGTTTGATGATAGAAAACCTTAAAAGAAGGAGACATTGGTTGGGCATGGTGGCTCAAAAGTATAGTCCCAGCACTTTGGGAGGCTGAGGCAGAAGGAACGCTTGAAGCCAGTAGTTCAAGATCAGCCTGGGCAGCATAGCAAGACTGCATCTCTAAAATGAATGAATGATGAATGAATGCAAGCATTAAAAAAAAATAAATACCAAATAAAAATTATTTAAAATTTGAAAGATAATCATATACATATTTAGTATTTGATTTTTTCATTCCTAAAATTTTTTTATTTTTTATTTTGATTTATTTATATATTTTTGAGACATCACACTGTTGCCCACCCAGGCTGAAGTACAGTGGCACGATCTTGGCTCACTACAACCTCCATCTCCTGGGTTCAAGTGATTCTCCTGCCTCACCCTCCTGAGTAGCTGGGATTATAGGCATGTACCACCATGCCTGGCAAATTTTTGTATTTTTAGTAGAGATAGTGTTTCACCATGTTGGTCAGGCTGGACTCAAACTCCTGACCTCAGGTGATCTGCCTGCCTCAGCCTTCCAAAGTGCTGGGATCACAGATGTGAGCCATCGAGCCTAACCTTAAAATGAAATTTTAAAGCAGAGTATCAATAGTATTATCTGATGGTCTTGATCTTTGGTGACAAATATGCCAGACAAAAAAAATTTATTTTGCACTAACATTCATCAGATCATTAAGAATGTATCTCAAGAACATCCTCATATTGGGCATTGCAAAGTATGTTGTTTCATAAAATCTCATTTTCTTTTTTAATTAAAGTATTTTGTCTGCTTCTCCTGATTTTGATTTTGCCATTGAAATCTATTATATATATTGCTTTTATTTCAGATTTTAGGTCAGTTTCTAATTTCATGTTGGAGTGTTCCACGCAGCATTCACTTTCTCTCTTTGCATTTCTTCTGTTAAATATTTACAATCCACTGAAGCTTGTCACAAATAATCAGTGAAAAATACCAGAAAATATAATTGGATAGTATTCAAATAACCTAACATTTAGATCTCCTAGCATGGTTAACAGCATTACACAGAGTCATGTGTCGAAACTGCCAATTTAAGGACTTATTTAGCCCCCAAACTTATTTCTTGGAACACAACTCCTAGGATTTATGTAAAGTATAATAAACATATCATCTTGTTAGTATTGTTTTCTGTAAGAAAGACCCACCACTAGCAGATATGGCCATGAGCACACACTTGTGGGAACAGCTCCGAGTAAGACTGACTTGAGCATATTGTGACTGCTACTCTCCCACATGCTTCTGTCCTCGTTCTTGGAAACATCAAGCTAAACCTTTGATTCTGCTTTTCAGTGTTTTCTGCTCTTGCTTTCAGTTGATATCAGCTTCTTTCTTTAAGCCAGATATCTCTATGTCAAATTGTTAAACTTTAATTTGTGCAGGAGAATTAGAACTTTTTTCTCATTTTTCCCATCAACTAATTTGTTGTAAGATTTAGAGAAAACAAATTACCCAAGAAACTCCAGAAAGAATTCCTATTTAGAAACAGCAATGTAAATCAACTGCAGCTCTCATATATCACAGGTGGGAATGCAAGGGATACATCTACTTTGGAAAATAATGTAACATTTTCTTATAAAATTAAACATACATTTACCATAATACCTAACAATTTCACTCATAAGTATTAGCTCAACATACATTTAAATATATGTCTACCTAAAGTCATGTAAGTTAATAGCAGCTTTATTTATTATAGCCCAAATTTTGAAACAACTCAAATGTTCATCATTGGTGAATGAATAATTAATTTTGGTATATTCATACAGTGGACATACAAGATAAAAGATCAGTGAGGAAACGGAGGACTTGAACAATAGAAGACCAAATGGACCTAATGGACATACAGAACATTTCATCCAATAACAGCAGAATATATATTCTTATCAAGCATGCATGGAAGGTTCTCCATGATAAACCACATTAGGCCACAAAACAAGTCTTAATAAATTTAAGATTTAAATTATGTAAAATATCTTCTGTGACATAATTTAAATTATGTAAAATATCTTAATGGGATGAAACTAAAATTAATTAGCAGAAAAAACAGGAAAATTTGCAAATACATGGAAATGGAAAATAAACAGTATGTTCTAAAACAACCAGTGGATCATGAGATAGTTTAGGAAATATCTGATGATAAATGTTTTAAAAAGATACAACATACTAAGACTTATTGAGTGTAGTAAAAGCAGTACTAAGAGAGGAGTTTATAGCAGTAAACACATTAAAAAAGAAGAAAAATCTCAAATCGCAAACCTAATCTTATACCTTAAGGAATTAGACAAAGAAGAACAAAGTAAACCCAAAGGCAGCAGAAGGAAGGGAATAATAAAGACTAGAGCAGAGATAATTTGAATAGAAAACATTAAAAAAAGAAAAAATCAACCAAACCGGGAGTTGTTTTTCTAAAAAAATTACTAAAATCGATAAATCTTTAAGAAAAAAAATACTTAAATATCTAAAATTAGAAATGAAAAAGGAGATAATTGCAACTGGTGTCACAGGAATGAATTATAAAGACTACTGTGAAAAATAGATGTGGACAAATTGGATGATCTAGAAGAAATTGATAAAGTTTTAGAAACACAAACCTACCAAGACTTAATCATAAGGAAATAAAAAATTTGAAAATACCTGTAACTAATGAGATTAAAGCAGTAATCAAAATCCTCCCAACAGGTCAGATGGGGTGAGTCATGCCTGTAATCCCAGCTACTTTGGGAGGCTGAGGCAGGCAGATCATGACGTCAATAGATGGAGACCATCCTAGCCAACATGGTGAAACCCTGTCTCTACTAAAAA